GGAAAAACCATACTCTTGTGAAGAGTGTGGAAAGGCATTTTCGGATAGTAGTGCTTTAAGACAACATATAAAGAGGCATCAAGAAGTAGGACCTTTTAGATGTGAGTACTGTGAAGAGCTTTTTGATAAAAAAGTTTCATATGATGTACATATGATGGAGCACAAAGGGATTAAGCCAGAAGAGTGTGATGTTTGTGGAAAGCAGTTCCCTACCAAAGGTCTTCTTACAAATCATCGAAGAACTCATTTCAAAGAAAAAGCATTTAGATGTGAACTTTGTGACGAAGAATTTATGAGATTAGTGACTTTAAAGAAACATGTGAAATATGCACATGGCCATGGTACTTCTGGACGTGTTCCACCAATCTATGATGACAGACCAACAAGAAAGCCATATGGAGAATCAAAACCTTTTAAGTGTGATGAATGTGACATGACATTTACAACAAATGGTAAATTCTTGGCCCACCAGCACACCCATCGGCCAAATAAACAGTTCAAGTGTGATGATTGTGGTATGTGTTTTGCAAAAAGTTATACTTTAGAAGTTCACAGACAGATGCATGCCAGTGCTCCCCAAGTAATTCAGAATGGACCAATCCCAATCAATGCAATGACTTCCATTGGATCTATAACTCCAGTGTTGAGTGTGCCAGCTTCAGTGACAGTGCCACAGACATCAAATAAAGTTACAGCATACGTCAAAGTTCCACAGCGCCCAGTTGCTGTTAAGCGAGAGCCTCGCTATGACGATCCTCTTGCCATGGCTACTGCTGCTGCCCAGGTGACACCAGATCTTGTAGAAAGTCTCACAGTGCCTGAACAGCATCAATCATACAATTATGTTTATTCAGCCCAGGGTAAAACTATGTATACAAACAAGTTCCGTAAGTGATAATATGAAAGCACGCATGACAGGTATTATTTTGAATAAACTTTTATATATGCTTTGATACTTAACAGTTATGAATATTTTAGTGTTATCTGACTTCATGATACATTTTGCATTCATATTCCCTTATCAGCATAGATTGAATTTGCAAAATATATTTATATTGATCAAATAGTATGGGTTGCATTCTATATCAGTCAGCACAAATAGTACCAAGAACATTTCCAAATAAAGGTTAATTGCATAGAATGATATATGCAGATCAATTATTTGCTAAGAAATTAATTGCAGGATAAATTTTAACAATTTGCATTGAAAAACAAATTAGCTATTGCATAAGAAGACAATAAAAGAATGTAATATAGTGTGCAAATTATGGCATTCATGAATTATTTCAAAGTAGCTAAAAAAAATGTACAAATTATATTTAAACACTTGGCATAGTAAACTTATAGGTATTAATTGTCTGGCTGTATGCTTTGTGATACCAAATGAGTTCCGTACTGGTGCCAAATATGCATATGACTAGGAAGGAACAATTTTCTTCATAGTTTTGTGTAAAACAATTGACTGAAGGACAGAAATAGCTTTAACAACATGCACATTATATACAGTACTTAATTTTGTAAATTTTGTATTTGCTCATTGTTTTATTAAGGAACATGAAGTCATTGTTTTCCTACGGTCAGTATACATGATACTGATATGGATACTTAATTTTAATTTCATTCTTTGAGATACAGATGTTATTAACAAAAGCACTGCATTTTGTTATTTATTATCATTAAGTTTTGCTTTGTGTAAATAGAACAGCTTCCCCATATGCCCTTGTGCATGTTATACATGCTTTTGCAGAAATATTCATAAACACAAATTCTTGTAAACATCCAGACATGCATAGCAAACATATGTACTCACTGACACACACGTACAAGCATAGGCGTGCACACACACACACACACACACACACACACACACACACACACACACACACACACACACACACACACACACATACATACATGCTCTCTCTCACTCTAATTCACTCACTCAAATACTCACTCGAATGCATAGGCACGGACACGCACACACACGCACACACAAACAAGCACACACACGCGCACACACTCGTACACACACACGCGCACCCACACGCGCACCCACACGCACACGCACACGCACACGCACACGCACACGCACACGCACACGCACACGCACACGCACACACACACACACACACACACACACACACACACACACACACACACACACACACGCGCGCTTCAGGCTTACACTGTGCATAAAATATTTTTGGATTCATTGTCCTATTAGGGATCATGAAAGGCAGGTGAAAATTTACTTAATACTGTAACTGAGAGAGATTAATGCTTTATGTTGTGGCACAAACCATGTAAATTATATTGTAGTTTAAATTGGTAAATAAAAAGATTTATGTAATTATCTCCAGTGATTAACCTTCCTTGGGAGACAAAGGGGTGTGACCTGGGCAGTGCTGCAGTTTGGCAGCCGCAAGTATTAAAATCACCTTGCTTTTCATGACCTCTGCTCTTTTGGTTTTAACAGGACTGGCCTGCATGGGGATGGACAAAATTGATAAAATGACCTAAAAGTGGTTGTTTCATTATATTGTGTGTACAAAAATTATGCAGTTCCTAGTACAAAGATTTTACGCTTTTCCCCTTCGTTGCTGTACAAATAACTCAAGCCATTGAAAATCTAGAGAAATGAGAAAGAAATGTATAAATTTTATTGAGTTGCACAAATAGCTGGAATTTCTAGTAAGAATTGAGTAATTTTTTTTTTTCTTTCTTTCTTTTTTTTTATGCATAAATATCCTTAGAAAAAAGAAGGTAAAAATGTTTAGATATCCAGTGTAGTTACATACAGAATTTCAATAGCCACTGAAATAACTATATTTTTGTTAATCTATCAAGTTATTTGTGCAGCAACTTGGGAAAAAAGTGAAAAATGCAATTTTCTTAGTTAATTTTATTACTTTCATTTTTTGGAATTATGATATCTAACTACCATAAACTCCTTTCTGTTATTTGTGTAAAATTCTTTATTGCATGGAAATGTTAAACCTGATGCTAATGACAATAATGTAATGTAATGACAAGTACCTGAGGGGAGAAAATTAGATGAGGTTCCCATAAAAACTCAAATTACAGATTATGTTAAAGGAAGTTGGCAAAAAAATGAAGTTACACAGGTTTAAGAAAACTAAACAAAAAGTAGTTTAGTATGTATTTTATTTTTTATATTATTATTATTTTTTATTTATTATTATTATTATTATTTTGAGAATACCAAAAAGGAAAAAAAAAAAAAAACAAAACATTATTTTGCACCATCATGCTCAGTATTTGCAGTACATGTAAAAAATTTTTTAATATGCACAAGCTTTAGTTAAAGTCTTATTCAATGGTTGAGCTGGGTTTTTCTTCTACTTCTATTAACTATAAATACTTATCAAAAGAAAATGGGAATGATGTTAACCCATTCGCACCGGGTAAAATTGAACAAAAAATGTGGAAAATGCTGTGCTCGTTTTTTATATTTTTTTATGAAATTTCTCTACACTGGATGGCTCTGCCTTACCTGATTTCATTTGGCGGGAAAATGTATTTTTACTAGTGTTACGAATATCGATGGTTATTTTTATTATAAACATTATAATTACTATAATGTTATAAACATTAGTTACAACAAAATAAGATAATGCAATATAATTTCGTAAATTAAAGAAAAGGGTAAACAGGTGAGACAGGCAGTACAAGTACAAGTGTAGCCATCTATGTATGAAAACAATTAAACAAGAAAACTCACAGTGAGCCTGTCACCTATACGTGACGCCCGGCGCGAATGGGTTAAAGAAAAAGTCTTTATCATGTTATTTATTTGGTTAAAAGCATGTTGCGTTAGAACATACTCATCAAAGATGTATAGAAATTTCCTTTTTATCCTAGCTACCCTCCCCCTCCTGTTTGGGTATCCCCAAAAACTCTGTTGTGATAAATGCAATATTAATGCAAACACCAAGTAAAAAGGCCAAACAAGCTAATAAATGCCTTATAGTGGCTTACATAAGTCATATTTCATAGATACTAATCTTTGGACGTGTAGGCATTCAAAGCCAACACTATAGTTATGATTCTCGCAAATCCAATCTCCTTCCCCCAACACCCAGGACTGGCCCCACCCTTTCTACACCGCACCCCCTTGCTCGTTGCTGTGGTGGGCATTAGGAGACAGAGACTGAGGCCCAGTACAGGGGATCAGCCCTGCCTTGGACCTCAGCCCTCGCCTCAAAATTTGCATGATCTTTTCTTCTTTCTTTTTCCTTCTCTTTTTCATCCCTTCTTCTGTCCACTTATCCTAATTTTTAACTCATTTTTACCCTTTTTGCTACAATCCTTTATCATAATGCCATAATTGGGTCTTTACCGCAAGTACCGCCATATTTCTGTATTTTGAATAAGCAACTAATGACCTTAGATGTTTATGCGGCAGGAAATTTTCAATAAAGAAATGAATAAATAATCATAGACTAATATTTGCATGGTAAGTCTTTGTGTAGCCATTCAAAGCCAACATTGACTTCAATTATTATTCTCGCAAATCCAATCTCCTCCCCTATCACTCAGGACAGGGCACCTTTCTCTTAATATCTGGACCTTTGAAATACTGGATTTCATTATTTTGTTCTGTACTTGTTTATTTCAGTTGATTTTCTTTCCTTTTTTATTTTACTTTATTGAGAATTGCATTTTTAGAAGCAGATTTTTAAAAATTGCAAACAGATCCGATGTATTTTTTTTTCATCGTTTTAATTATTATTGTCATTGTCATCGTCTCTGTCTTCATCTTCCTCTTCATCTTCATTATTGACAGTGTCATGGGCATCATTGTTATTGTTATTTTTTATAAATAATAGTTATAATAATGATTTCTTTGTACATACATGCCCTGCTCACTGGCCCTTGCATCAACTTATTTTACAGGGCTATTTCTTCTCCCTCTTTCTTTTTCTATCTCTTTTTCATCTCATTCTTCTGTCCACTTATCCTAATTTTTAACTCATTTTTACCCTTTTTGCTACAATCCTTTATCATAATGCCATAATTGGGTCTTTACCGCAAGTACCACCATATTTCTGTATTTTGAATAAGCAACTAATGACCTTAGATGTTTATGCGGCAGGAAATTTTCAATAAAGAAATGAATAAATAATCATAGACTAATATTTGCATGGTAAGTCTTTGTGTAGCCATTCAAAGCCAACATTGACTTCAATTATTATTCTCGCAAATCCAATCTCCTCCCCTATCACTCAGGACAGGGCACCTTTCTCTTAATATCTGGACCTTTGAAATACTGGATTTCATTATTTTGTTCTGTACTTGTTTATTTCAGTTGATTTTCTTTCCTTTTTTATTTTACTTTATTGAGAATTGCATTTTTAGAAGCAGATTTTTAAAAATTGCAAACAGATCCGATGTATTTTTTTTTCATCGTTTTAATTATTATTGTCATTGTCATCGTCTCTGTCTTCATCTTCATCTTCATCTTCATTATTGACAGTGTCATGGGCATCATTGTTATTGTTATTTTTTATAAATAATAGTTATAATAATGATTTCTTTGTACATACATGCCCTGCTCACTGGCCCTTGCATCAACTTATTTTACAGGGCTATTTCTTCTCCCTCTTTCTTTTTCTATCTCTTTTTCATCTCATTCTTCTGTCCACTTATTAGAATTGTTAAAGCATATTTACCCTTTTTCCACAATACTTTACCATAATGTTGTGTAACCTTTGATGTCTGGTATATTTGTTTTTGACCATTGACCATTCTGGAAGTCGGCAAATATTGCCTTACTGAATTTAAAAATGTTTTCAAGTTTAATGTCAAAACAAGCAAAGTCATTGGGTAATTGTGATGAAAGTTATAAGCTGGTATTAAGCACTGAACCTAAAATGAAACTTAAAATATATTGTATACAAAGTTATAATAAACTAAAATTGAAAAGCTCTTGAACATAATATGTTGGATAAGAAATATTAACATAAATTCATATTACTTTATCATTACAATAATTAAGAAACAAGATGAAATATCAAATAAGAAATAGACACATAAACAGTTGATTGTACTGTGGTATGCTGGAAAGAAAATAATGAATTATTTTAGTGCTCCAAGTATGGACAGTTGTTCCACTGTCAAGCTAATGGTCAGGGAAAAGAAGGGAGGTGCACTGTTTGGTTTCCACAAGAAATTATTATAAAGAAAATAGATTCAGCAAAATATTGTGAATTATGGTGTAAGTATTGGTTTTCACCATAATCACTTTTTATTGTCCTGACTATTTAAGCAAAATATTACTAAGGAAAAGCAGATAGAGTTACTCAATGTGAATAAGCACAAAATATATATCAACTAAGTTTTCAAATTTTGCGACCGGTGCTTAAGTGAAGCATAGCTCTTGGCAGTGGCTCTAAACCGGAATCCTTTTGGGGGTGTTCTTAGTCTGTGGATCCCCAATCTCTATTCCAGTATATATAGTGTCAGTACATAATAATAAGACACCTCACCCTTCCTTATTTATTGCCACTATATATATCTACTCTTACAAACATCTATGTTTTCACCTTTCATACTACGTAATAGAGGTATAGTATTCATTTTTATTTGATAAAACAAACTTCTATTGAAAATTACAGTGCTGTGTCTGGGGCAACACAGACTGAGCAGCATTTACTTGTAAAATTGCACACACAACGCATACCATGAAATAAATGGTATTAGAGAAAAAAAACTCATACAAATAGTACAACCCAGCTGAAATCAGTTGAGTATCTTGAGTTGGAACAACCAGAGATGTATAGATTTCCCTCTCCTGGTTTGGTATCCCTAAATACGTGGTCTCAGTGTTGAAACACCCATTTAGAAAACTGCAGAACAATCGTAAATTATAACTTTTATGAGGACTACAGACCATACATTTTTAAGACCCAATTTTTTGCGTAGGATATTCTCTAGATCAGGGGTTCTTAAACTTTTTAGTTATGGACCCCTTTAAGAATCTGATGAAAGCTGTGGACCCCCTCCTTTGAAATATTCACACAAATACAACTCTGCATGTAATATGTATAATTTATAATAGCTACATTCTTTGTTGAGATTTCATTGTCTCATACATACAAGAGATACACAAAGTATTATTAAACTTTAAAGTGAACAATCTAGGTAAATGCATAAATATAAAGGCTAATTTTTATCTGAGGGATTTCACAGACCCCCTGAAACCCCACCATGGACCCCAGGTTAAGGACCCTACCAGATGTATGCTAGATGTTATTCAAAATTAGTCTTTCAAAGCCAGTTGACTTGCAACCAAGTAGGATGATCCATTTAAGAGAGATATTGCATGTGTATTGCAGTAGGACAATATGTTAAAAAAGTGGAATAAAGTCAGTAGAGAAAAGGAAATAACTAAGAAAAGAAAGGAAAATAGCTGAACAATTGAAGTGTCAAAGGTATATCTGGTAAAGTGCAGATTGCCCAAATTTTCTTTGACCTCAGACTTCCTGTGGTACCACTTTAACAGTTTCCCTTTAATCCCTTGCTCATTGTTGGCATGCGGGGGCTTAGGAGAGAAAGACTGAGGCACAATGTAGGGATCACCCCTACCTTGGACCTCAACCCTTGCCTCAACGAATTTTGCATAGTCTTTTCTTCTCCCCCTTTCCTTTTCCTTCTCCTCACCCCTTCTTCTGTTGGCTTCCTAAGATGTGAGAGCTGTGCTGAAAGGGCGAAAGGCAGGCTTTGTGTTAATCATGAACTCCCTCAGGGAGCCATGGGCACAGTATTCCCTTGGTTAATCACCAAGCCCCTACCCTGCATGAGAAGCCATTTATTCCAGGCTCACCACGGCCAATAATGAAGATTTTTTACCCTTTTTAGGGACATTAAGGCGTGCTCCTTCATCAACTAGCCTATCTAAATTTGTGAGCCTCTCCTCTGATCATGGCTCTGACCACATGTTTGCTGTCATCTCTATCCATTCTGAATCATCCACCCAGGTCATTACTCAACCTTCAGAATACACCCCTTCCTCTCTCCCAACATCCTCCACCCCATCTCCTACTGCACAGTCTTCTTCATTGTCTATCACCAAACCCCTTATTACTACTCTTCATTCTAATTGTTCTCCTCCCAACAGTACAACATCTCCATAACATACCTTATGAGTACCTTTTTTGGCCCAAGTGGGATCGATTCTTTGTGATTTCCCCTACAGCCCCATACTCTCAGAAAACCCTTCTCTTCCAACAATGTCTCGAAAAACAAGTTGGCAAAGTTTCTTTCCCAGTCATTCCAATCATTCATGCCTTGTCACAGTGACATCTGAGTCCTAAGATTGTGCACTATCTACTCTCACTGACCTTACAGGCAAACCTATTCCTGTCCAAACTCATTCCTCCCTAAATACTTTTACCGGAACTATTCCCGTCTCTCTGACTGATTGTCCTGTCTATGACATGGACTGACCAGACTGTGAAAATGACTTGCTCATGTGCCTTGTTGACTATGATGGCAGTCCAGTGCTACACAATTCCTCCCAGAGGCCAATGTAAGTCCTACACCACTATTGCCAAGATTAGCTTCTGTAGAACTGACCTCCCCCATGAAGTTTATATCGGTGGAGTGTCCTGCCCTTTTCGAACTTATCAACCCCTTTCCCTTCAATGTCAGAAGTGTTGGTGTTTGCCCATCCAGCTAAACACTGTCATGACAGTCTGATGCCCTCTATGTGGCCAACCTAGTCATGACTCTTCAAATTGCTCTGCTCAGTCACGCATGTGTGCCAATTGTGGTGGCTCCCATAATGTATTTTATAGGAGCCATTCTGTTTACAAGCTCGAATCTGAGATAGTAGTTCTCAGATTTAAACTAGGCCAGACAAGAAGCATGTCAATGAGGTTTTTCTCTTTTACCTATTCCAAAACTGTACTTTGCTCCGCTCCCCTCCTGTCTTCTCAAGAAGTCTCAGCATCTCCCCCACTATCTCTTCCAAGAACCATCCTATCTTACTCCCTCTCTCCCGCAGTCAAATTCCTTTTCCATTTTAAAGCCAGATACTCCAATCTTTACCACTTCCCAGTGCCTACCCCTCCTCTTTCTCACTCTATCATTCACACCAGACAATCTAAACGTTTCATCCCATCTTCTACTACATTCTCTCCTTCACCCACATCTCCGTCTGCCCTTTGGACATCTATTCCCTCTTCTCCACATAAGAAAACCTTTGTTTCTCAGACCTCCCCACCCAACTCAGCTCCAGGAGTTCTTGAAGACATATAAAGCTCCCTAAACATGACCCATGAGAATACTCCACTCCCTCATCCACCTATTCCTATTCACTCTACATTCAGAGCATTTGCTGATATCCATCCTCCTCAAGTTCCCCCAACCCCTCTTCCTCCCACTCTCCCAAAATACACTCCATCCTCTTCTCCATGAGCATCACCATTCCCTCTTTCTTTGCCATTATCCTTACCACTTCACCACCTTCCCCTGTTCCCTTGTCTCATTCTCTGTAATCTTCTCCCACTTCTACAACTACCATTTCTACCTATATTACCCTTTGATTGTCTCATAATAGCTCTTTTGCAGGTTTCTTCGTATAGTGTTACTCTCCCTTCATAAGACACATACTCTCTATTTGATGTGATTGCCCTATACCTTTAACCCCCTCTCCTTTTACAAATCCACACTGGATTTCCTTTGCTCCCCCTCTATGCCCTTTTCACTACCATTCTATCTGACACCATTCAACAACCTTTGACATCAGACATTTTATGCTAATCATTAACTCATTTCCACCCTTCTCACCACCATATTTTACCATAGTGCTTTATGACTTTTGCTGTCGAGCACATTTATTTCTTTTCGCATTTAACCATTAACCACTCTAACCGTTGGCTAAATGTACTTATAATTACCTTTCTGTCATTAGTGTGTAAAGAATAGTTCCAAGCAAAATATATTCCAGAATAGTTAAATGTTGAATATGATTACATGTGAGATTATTGAATCTAAAATAGAAGAGGGTTACCTAAAGAAAATAGAAGGAAATAAAAAAATGGCATTTTACATTCCATTTTACAATATATGCAACATCACTATTGCATATATTTTGCTTCCCAAATGTCAGACTTCTCAAATCATGTTTTGAAAAGACATTGACAGTAAACATATTTAGCTGCCACTAATAAAAAAGTGCATTATGTCCATTCACTTTTTCAGTTTTCCATACAAAGAAAATGAGCAAGGTACTCAAAAGTTCATTATTTGTTGTGTGATTTTCTGCCATATTATTATTAAATGGCATATAATGTTATAGCACTTCTTATGTCGCAGTAGTCACTTTTGTTTGTGTTACAAGTTCTTAATAAAAGTTCTTACTACATTGAAAACAAGAATTAATGAATTTCTTTAGTATTTCAGAACACCTTTAGAAAGTGATTCACATCTTTGATCACAGTATTGTAACTTATTTGACTTTCACAGCATCAAATAAACTGCAATCATTATATTTACATGTTTACAGACTCTCATGCACGCACACGCACACGCACACGCACACGCACACGCACACGCACACGCACACGCACACGCACACGCACGCACACACACACACACACACACACACACACACACACACACACACACACACACACACACACACATTCACATACATACACATACACACACACACACGTGTATATAGATATACATATATATAAATATATATATATACATACACATACACACTTGTATTGTATATGCCTATATGTTTGTATATATTCACTTATTCCATTTGTAAAATTGCCAGTGCTCTTGACTGCTAGATCGAGCCTGATCTCACTGTGAGAAAACAACATATCACTTTGAGAGGTCAAAGACAGGTGTTGTAGGGGAAGTCACTGCCATGGTATACATGTTAATGTGCTTAACTGCGGTTGATTAAGAAGGGCATCCAGTCAGGCAAGGATGGTAATGCCAAATAACCTCTCAATATTGTATCATACAAACAAACAAAAGAATGAATTTCCTCTCTTGTCTCCTCTCCTCTCCTTTCCTATCCTTCTCTCCTCATCTCCTCTCCTCTCCCTTCCTATCCTCTCTTCCCGTCTCCTCTCCTCTGCTCGCCTTACCTCACTTGTGTTCTCCTCTCCTATTTTCTCCTCCCTTATACATTATTAATTTCCATATTTATGTGCATCATCTAAGATGGAATAATGCAGTTCTGCTTTGATACAAGAAAGGATTGAACTTACTCAATCTACATAGGCTTAATGTATTTGCGTGTTAAATATGATAGATAATTTAAAAATACATTAATTGTGTAATTGGACATTGGTAACAGACATTTAGGTTAATGTAAAAAGCAGAAATGAATGAAAGAAGTCAGAAATAGAAATAAATAAACAGGGACCTTTTGCTTAGCTGAGGAAAAACAGGAGGGCCAGTCAACAAGAGGGGTGAGCAATTGAGCAAGTACACAAAAAACGGATGGGCAATTGAGCAAGTACACAAACAATGGGTGGGCAATTGAATAAATACACAAGTAAGCAAGAATGCATATAAACAGCCAAATATATCACGTCCTGGAATGTGTTAACCCCTTGCCGACAGGGAAAATGAATAAAAAATGGGGAAAATGCTGTGCTCTTTTTTTTTTTTTTTTTTTGTGAAATGTCTCTACACTTAGATGGCTCTGCCTCACCTGATTTCACCTTTCCTTGAAATGGCGGGAAAATATATTTTTTACTAGTGCTATGAATATCAATGATGTTATTTTCATAATAAACATTATAATTACTGTAATGTTATAAACATTAGTAACAGCAATATAAGATAACGTCAAATATTTTCATAAATTAAAGAAAAGGGTGAACGGGCAAGACAGGCAATACTCGTAATTGGCTCATTGGTGGCTCAGTACAAGTGTAGCCATCTATGTGTAAAAATAATCAAATAAGTAAACTTACAGTGGGAATGGCATGGCATGCCCGTCGGCAATGGGTTAATAAGTATACTGGCATGGAAGATCTTGATAAATTATAGCAGTTGAATAGAAAGTTAATGGTAGCATTAATATTAGCTTAGAGATAAAAAAAAGAGACATAGTTATAGACTTTAAATCATATAGTTCATTAAGAAGAGAAGGAAGTAAATTGTATTCAGAACTTAAAAATATAGTTACTTTAAGTAGAAAAAATGTGGCAGAAGCTATTTTCTTCTAGATATTATATAGCATTGAATAGTGAATAAGCTGCATCATCAAATATATGGTATAAATACAACCCTTTCTTTCTTTGCTTCTTACTGGATTTGTTGAAGCAATCAGTAACCTACATATATTATTAAAACACCTTTGTCATTGCAGATAAAATAATGGCAACAAAGGAGGACACAAGGACTGCCTTAAAAGTTATGCAGTTTCTTCTGAAAATTTCTCAAAAGATGTGGAATTGAATTCAGACAGGAATAAGGGAGAAAAAATGCTTAAGCAAAAGAATAACTACTAACCTTAGAGATAAAAACCAGCAAAATGTCATTGCCACAGCAAGTCAGTGTCCCGTCAATGTCTGTGGCTGTGACAGTTTCTGTGGCTGTCCCAGGCGTCCATGTTTCAGTTCCAGCCATCAACATAGAGGAAAAGGATGATCACATGAATGTTTACCTCTGGAATAAGTCACAGCAGACACAAGATGCCAAAACCCAAGGAAGTGACGGCAAATATGAATGTAGTGTATGTGGGAAGGCCTATTCCCAGAGGAGCAGCTTTGAGTACCACAAGAAAACCCACAGTGGTGAAAAACCATATCACTGCAGCACTTGTGGGAAATCATTTCTCAACAAGAGCAGTTTAGTTGTACACAATCGCATTCACACTGGAGAGAGACCATTTAGGTGTGATGACTGTGGCCGTGGATTTACTCAACGCAGTATGCTGACAGTCCATCGAAGAATTCACACAGGTGAGAGACCTTATTCATGTTCAGAGTGTGGGAAAGCTTTTTACCAGAGTGATCATCTTACAAAACATAAAAGAATACATACAGGAGAAAAACCTTATCTTTGTGGAGAATGTGGAATGGCTTTCTCAGATAGCAGTGGATTAAGACAGCATGTGAAACGGCATACAGAGATGGGTCCATGGCGGTGTGAGAAGTGTGATATAGTGTATGAAAAACGTACACCTTATGACCTTCATATGATGCAGCACCGTGGAGAGAAGCCTCTTGAATGTGATGTTTGTGGTAAACTTTTTCAGTATCGATCTACTCTTGATCTCCATAGAAAAACACATTTTAAGGAAAAGGTTTTTAAATGTGATGTTTGTGGTGAAGAATTTACTGGTAAAGTTTTACTGAGAAAGCATCTAAAACATGTACATACAGAACGATACTATGCCAGACGCCTTGTTGGCTGGAATGGGGATAACAAGTCGTCCAAACAACAGGGTGACACCAAACCTCTTAGATGCGACCAGTGTGGTTTACTTTTTAAGGACAATGGTAAATTCTTGCTTCATCAAAAAGTTCATTGTCTTGAAAAAAGTTTCAAGTGTGATGTTTGTGGTCTGGCATTTGCTAAGAGTTACACACTGGAAGTTCATAAGCAGATGCATCCACATATATCTCCTCTTGTCAATGCTACCATGTTAACTGAAGTGCCATGCCAAGAACTACAAGGAGCACCTGCATCTGAGATGACACTAACTCCTCTGTACCCTGCAGCCCAAGAACCTTCCATTGTGACCCAAGAGATCACACACATCCCAACAGGTCAAGTAGTTATTCCTAGCACCAGCAAGTTCCAGTCCTTCGTGAAAGTGCCCATAAAATCCCCAGCCAGCAAGGGCAAGCGAACTAAACCATGGTAGTTTTTAATTCACTTGTGATATCAGCGAATGACTGAGGTTGGTATCCTTGTTTGACTTTGGCTCCGCCTCTTTTTTGCCTTTCTTTCATGAGTTATGTGAATCCTGTCAGATTTCCTATTCCTTTAGTACCTCTTGTCCAGTGATTAAACTATAATTGCAATTATTGGATTGATCTGTGATAATACTTAAAAGAAATTCATATTTGTTATAATTTTATTGCATAAATTTGAGGGAACCTCATAAAAATGAATGACTGTTTTTATTGATTATAATTTTTATTTCCAATTGTTATTTAATTAAAACAGTATAAGATGTATATATGACATTATACCCTGCAGTTTAGTATCTTCTAAATGATATGCAATTATTATATATATTATACTGACTATAAAAATGTGCAATGAATTCGCCAGTGAAAGGCCCTTTGGATATGACTGATATTGTGCCTATTTCCTTTCTCTTCGTCTTATGAAACATAAGCAGGTTGGAATAGGTATGAAAATTATAAATTAACATCTGTGTATGTAACATAAGATCATTGCAGATTTCATGAAATTCACATTTCATAATAGACCATTTGCATTTAATAAAAGCTGTATATTATATGAACTACAGAAATTAAGTTCAGTGTATATAGTAAATTCCTGATATTTTCCATAGAGATGAAAAATTTATTAAATCTGTTTTATATGCATTTTACTTTTGCCTTTGCAAATTAAGATATTCTTTGATATAGTAGAGTGTTATATTTGTTTCTAATGTATGTGTGCATATGTTCATATGGTCTCAAGCAAGAGTCCAATACAGTTGAGTGAGTGCCAGCATGCCAATTTAATTGTGTGTGAAAAGGTAACTTCTTTATATCCTTAGAACTTAAATGGTGCTATGCATCTACAGTACATGAAAGGATCTTATACAGTATATGTTCTTTATGAATAGACTGAAATAAAAGATATTTATTAAGGAGATATTATTTTTTTCTTAAGTACATTAAGATGATGAATTAACAATGTAATCCTCACTAGTAGTTGCCAGTAGTTTATAAATTGTATTAATTTACATATACACTATTAGTCACTGTATATCAAGCTACATAGAATTGATGGCTGCCATTATGCCAGCCC